GGACCCGCCATAGAGTTTAGAATGCTGAGAAAAGTAGGGGTGATGTTAATGTATTAGCAGAGGCAGGAGAAAGTGTTCCTGCTAAGGACTCCTTCCAGGAGGGACTGAATGTTGAATGCACTGTGTGAAACCCACTGAACTTGAGCATCTACATTTACATGGGATTTGTTATGATGGAAAAGGAAAGAGGTGTCATCTCATCTAATGCTAGAGCCCTTGGACTATTTGTAGGCATTGTCTTAAAAATGGAAATGCTGACTGAGGTGGGCTTTATATTACAGAACTACTGGGGTAGCTCTAGTGCTAAAACCCTAAATGGGAGGTCTGCTGGTGTGTGGATTCTTAGTGATAAGCTTTTATCCTGTAGGAAGGAGCAAATAGGAAGAGAAAGAAAATGGCAGAGTAGAGGGTGGAGAGGGTGTCAAAATCCAAACCTGTACAAAAAGTTCTACCCCTGAAGTCAGATTGTTCCTTGTGTGAAAATCAAGTGTGCCCCGGCTCATTCTGAGTATTGGTCAAAGATTACAGGGCAGAAGGAAGGTGAAGTAGTCAAAGTTAGATAAATATTGTAAGGGCCGAGAATCTCGCCGCGTGAAGGAAGACTCCAAGAGACGCTCTCTCATGCAATAGGCAAGGGGAGTTTATTTACCAGGCATGCATGGGGCTCACTGAACACACAGGAACAGAGAGCACGGAGCTGGAGTTCAGTCTGACTTTTTAAACCCAAAAACCACAAAGGGCGGGTATTTGCAAGCGAAATTACAGAAGCGATAGCATCGGTTAGTTTAAGCTGACTTTAACAATCATTTGGGGGGTTTGGTGAGGAGATTTAAGAATGAGGGAGTGTAGATTAAAGGCAGGGTAGTTACTCTGAGTAAACAACAGATGTTCTTTTGTGGTTTTTTCCCAAGGACAGGATGGGAGTTTATTTCCTGAAACTCCTAGCACCTCCTGGGCAGTCTCATACTGCTTATCTATAGCCGGAGGACAGCTGGCTCCCATAAAATTTTTCTTTACAATATGTCTTCTGTTAACACTAATCAGTTAACCTAATCATTTTTTAGGAAAACCTGGAAATTAGAAGTGTAGTGTTTTTGTAGGTCTAAAAGTGTGATGGGTAAGGATTTCTCCATGAGACAAAAGATTACAAGTTGTGGTTGATGTTTTTATTGGACTCAGAAGTGAACTCAGGGCTTTTTGTCTGAATTACATTCTCCACACTTCTTAATGTTTTGTTTTTAAATTTGAGACCAGGTCTCACTAAGTTGTCCAGGCTGCAGTGAATTTCTGATCTTGTTTAGCCTCTTGCAGTTCTGATAATACAGGCATGTACCAATATATTAGCTAAGATTTGGTTTCTTTTGTTTCCACTAGTAAGTGGCATTACAGTGCTTGGTTAGATGAAACTTCAGTGAGGCCAGTTGTATCTCTTGCATCCTAGCCAATTGAGACACTGAAGAAGGAGATTGTAATCCTGAAAGCAGCCTGGATGAAGGAGCAAGACCCAGAACAAGAGAAAGTATAAATGATGGGGAGACCTAAATGCATTGTAGATCTCCAACCTAAAGTAGCTGTGAAACATGCACAAAGCCATCAATTCAATTTCCAATACTACAGGGTAAAAGAGAAAGTTATTAGTATTCAAAGGAAAATTTAGTTTATTTCAGATTTATTCTGTTTGCACACTAGTGGTGCATGGTACAATACTTGTTCAAGATACTAGGCAACAGCAGTGATTTGCTGCTTTGTCAGTGACAGGACACCAAGTGAAAACAGCCACGCTGCTTCTCTGGTTAATACGAATCTTATTAACTACTTTTCTGTGTTGAGTACTGCATTAGTCTCATTCTACTGACAAAGTGAATATAGGTGCAACACAGTATGAGCAGTGCTTTGGTAAAAGAGCAGTACTCTGGGCCTTACTTTGATTTTGGTTATATTTGGTTGGATGGTGGGTTATTTATTTATCCATATATTTTGTGTTATTGAAATGTACACAAATACTGTCCAGCTTGCTTTATCCCTACAAGGCCATAGGATAGAAATTGTCCATCAACAGGCACAGTGCTGAGCAGTTTAACCACAACACACCAAGCATTTACAGTGGTAAAGAGGAAATAATTTCCTTTGTAGTTCTAACTTACGCTGATTGTGGGAACTATTCTATCTCCCTTAATCTTGGAGAAAATATTTGACTTTGTACTTCACGCCATCTTATTTTCCCATGGCCTCTTCCTTGCACTTACCAGGCTGAAGTCACATCTGTCTAGCACTGTCTCATCCAAGACTTGGGGCTCTTTTTCCTTTGCAGTGACTTGCATATCCCTGGGGAAAGGAGACCATGAGCCTTTGTTATGTGTTTCATATGAGGATGGAGCCTGTAGTCCCTAAAATTCCTTTGAGTTCTGCTGAATTCCCCACACTCTGGATGTCTCTGTCATGTTGGTGTTCTGAAGAAGGCCCTAGCAATGGCCTATGGAGAAGGGCACAGCTGACAGAAAGCACAGAGCTTCAGTTCAAGCCACCCCTTCGTCTGGCTGCTAGACCTCCCAGTGTGTGTCATCATGGCATAGCAAGGACTGGATCTGATTTTCACACTAGTGGCATCAGAAAGTCAGCCCAGAAGGGACAGAGAGAGTGTTTGGGTACAGACAGAGTTATTTGGGTAGAGTTACCAGTTGGATTTGGGTGCAGAGGTGGAGTCTTCTTTGCCCTCTCAGGTACCATGTCATTCAGGACCTTATGTGTTCACTGCACCTGCTCAGTCAGAGTTTCAGCCACTGTGAATTTATACTTAAGGAAACATGCAGATGTAACCCAACACTTTATTTGCCTTTTCCACAGTATGGGAAGACCAGCTTTTCAAGTTCTGCAGCGATATAAGTGACACAGGAAACATCTTCCTGCCCTAGAGAGAGGTTTGAGAAAATGCCGTAGATGCTCAGGCACCTGTTTGCTAGTGCGCAGAATGCTTATCCATTGAAACTCCGATGCGCACTGTCCGTGCTACCACCACCAGTAGGCAATAATTCCTATTTCTTACAGTCACCAATATGAGAGTATTTCTAACTGGTGAATTTTATGGGTATGTGTTGAGATTCATTTCCATTTGTAGCAAAATATATTTTCAGGTCATTGGAATAAGCCACTGGTCTATAGATTTTGGTATATGGCTGTGGAGTATATCCTTTCATCCTTCCTTCTTTCATAGCTCTATTTACTAGTTGTGTCTTTCCACAATTCTTTTTACTTTGGCTATTTCCTCAACCAAACTCATGGATCTTGTTGTATATTTGGTGTTTTCCTTTAAGTGATATGTGTTTTGTTCATTTTTCTGTTTATTGTATACAGTGAAAATAATTATTTTCAGTTCTTGTCTTTTTTAGCTCCTATGATCTATATAGGTTTCAATTTCTCTGTCTAATTCTGATGGTGTCATAATATTCTTCTAGGCAAATAGTTGTTTCACATCCAAAAGATGTTTGGCTGTAAATTCTAAAGGCATTCAAGTTTATCTTTGTACTTTAAGGAGTATTTTAATTATTATACATAGAATATGAAAGATACAATGTAGGTTTCAGTGCATGTAACTATTCCGCCTTGTCCCGTATTTTTTGTTTGTTTGGTACTAGAAATGGAACACAGGACCTTGTACTTGCGAGGCAGGGCTGTGCTGTTGAGCTCTATCCCTGGCTCTGTCCCATTTTAAACAGATTATGATTTTTGCCATTTTGTACAATAAGAGCTCTATCATGACCCAATTGAAGATCCTCTTCCTTTCCTGTGATCTGTTTATGATTCTCTCTACTAAGAGAACTGTGCCTTGACGGGTGGATTTTGAATCTCTTTACTGTATATTAAAGGAAGTGTCACATTATTTCTTATGTATTTAACCTTTCTTATATGGAAAAGTTATAATTTTCATTGATACATCAAAGGTAAAATTTGGAAGTGAGAGAAGTTTTTCTTCAAATTTTCATTTTGCTCTTGGTGCCTTTTATTTGAAAAAATTTGATATTTAGCATATATTATATATATTAGCTCTGTCCATTTCCCCATTTTTTTCCCATTTGCTACTTTTCAGGTCATTCAGGTATAAAATAATGCATTTTTCCAAACAAATATTTTTACTAGCATTCCATAAATTTTAGTGTTAGTGTTAGTTAGTATTCAGTTAACGTTTTGCCTATGAAACAGGTCAAGTTTCAAAATGCTGTCCCAGTAAAAGCAGAAGAGAAAGGGATTCATTCCCTAACCCTAATAAACAGGATATCCAGTATTCTCATTCTGTTGTTGCTTTAGCCATGAATTTCAATCTAACATCTGATTTCTTCTCTCAAATTGTTACATGGATAGACAATAAATGCTTGATGATCAGGGCGTGAAGGAAACATTTGGAAGACTCAGCCTCATGTCAGGTTTTTATACACAGAGTTGAAATATTTCACATTTCAAGCTCTTTTTTCCTGGATATATATGTCTAATGATTTAGGATGCAGTATCTTTTGAGGATGTGGCTGTGGACTTCACCAAGGAGGAGTGGGCTTTGCTGGACCCTTCCCAGAAGAAGCTCTACAGAGATGTGATGTGGGAAAATTTTAGGAATGTGGCTGCTATAGGTAAGGAAGATGTCCTTTTTCATTTATGCATTCAGTGAGCATTGGTTGTTACATCAGTGTAGTTTACTAAATTGGAATATGGAAACACTTGATGACTTTTCCAGAGAAGGTCACAGTATACTCTGAATTTAACTGGAATCTATAGACTTGCATGTAATGCAGCAGGTCATCATACTTCTTGTCTTCGTTACTTTTCTCATTGCTGAGACCAAATATTGAAAACCCAAAGTTAAAGAGGGAACGCTTTATTTCAGCTTCCAGCTTGTGGAGATTTCAGTCTATAGGCACCAGGCCCCAAGGCAGAGTGGCATGGCATAGGGGCATCATGGAAGGCAGTAAGCTACAACAGCAATGCTGTTTGTCCCTTATAACACACCCAGGCTCTCACCCTTAGAGAAGTGCGCTTATATCCAGGATGGGGCTCTCCTTCAAATCATTGCCAGTATCACACAAAGCAGATCTAGCCACCTCCAAAAAACTCGACCCATGACTGCATAAAGCTTTGGGAAGATATCTAGACAAGCCATAACACTTCTATTTCTATACTTTAGGAAGGAACGGGGATGACCAGCAGATTGAAGATGAATATAAAAATTGCAGGGAAAATGTAAGGTAATTTATTCTCACACAATGTTCCTCAAGAGTCAGAAATATTACAATCAAGAAATCTGTATAAATAAGTGCGTTTTTTCTTCAATATCATGAATGTTCTCCAAATGTGTACATTTTAAGTATCTACAATCTAACAATTAAATATTTAAAATATTCCAATATCTAAAGTACAGTCAGTCCCTACATCATGCCACAGGTGATAGTATTTAATGTATGAGAATAAATTATTTTTCATGCTCAAGTTTATAAAAGTGTTGAATGAAATTGCTTTCAGGCATTGATTATAGGAGTATATAAAGCAGAATTTGTGTTTAGACTGAGAACCAAGTTCAGGCTACTCATACATATATATTATTCTCTGAAGACTCCTTTCATGTCAAGCAAGGTATGTAAGAAATGTGATATGTATTTAAATGTGGTATGCAGACTCTGTATTTGCAAATTTGCATACCTTCTCAAAGTATTTAGTATCCAAATGAATGTCAGTATTGTCTTAATGTGTTCTCAAGCAATCCTCCATAACATTCAGTGCATTCATGTTCCAAAATATTAGCAGTCACCTTCTAGTATTGTTAGTGGGGATGTTCAAGGAGTATAACATCTATGGAAATGTGTGTAGACAGTCCTCAAAAAAGTAAAACTAGAAACTCCATTTTATCCATCTGTGCTTTTCCTGGGTATATTTCCCCCAAATTGAAAGTAGTTATCTAACAGTGATGCATGCATGCCCCTTGCATGTAGCAACATAAACGACAAAAGCTGAGGTCTGCAAAGAGCCTAGATGCCCATACACAGATGAATTATCGAGGAAATATGGGATAGCCTGGCCATGATTGCGCATGCTTGGAATTCTTGGCTCTGGGGAGGTGAGGGAGGATGATCATATATTCATACTCAGCCTGTCAACTAACTGATGTTTAAGACTGTTTTAAATACAAAAAGAGGGACTGGGATATAGCTGAGTGGCAGAGCACCTGCCTGACAAGCGTAAGGTCCTGAGTTCAATTCCTTGTACCCCATCCCCAAAATAAGGCTGGGGATGTAGATCAGTGCTAAAACTCTGAGTTAAATCTCCAGCACTGAAAAAAAGTGGTACATATACATATTAGAATAGTATTCAGCCATAAAAAAGAATGAAATAAAGTCAGTTGCCAACAACTGGGTGAATCAGGAGCCCATTATATTAAGTATTTCAGACACAAAAATTTCAATAACATGTTATATTTTGTATGAGAAACCCAAAATATGAATTAATTAAGAAAATAAAGGAAAGATGGTATCATACAGGGAGGCAGATACTTAGGACTAAGCAAAGAGGCTCAGGGGAAGAGCGGGCTGGTAGTCATGGAGGAGAAATTATTATAAATAATCATGAGAAATAGCATATTTATATATATATATATATATATATGTGCCAATTCCTAAAAATGTAAGGCATATATGTCACTAATTTTATAAATTGTAAACTAGCAACTAAACACTAATGCTTTGGTAAAAGCTCTTTCCAAGCCCCATCATGGGAAGGGTACAATAAACACATGATAAAATATTCTTAGGGAGCTTCAAACCTGTTCTCTTACTGATACATCGCTATTGAAAAGACACTTTTATATGTGGGGTTACTGTGTTATTTTGTGCTTTTACAGAAGTGAAGAGGTAGAGAAATTCTGTAAATACAGAATACAGGATCAGCATGAAGAAGTGGTTTTGCTGCTTCCAAACAATCGGATGAATATGAAACCATCTGATACACAAGCAAGTGAAAGCTGTGCCTTTAGAAATCTCCAGATTGGTCATTCTTCACGCACTGTGCCTGTCTTACCTACCACTAGACTCAAATCCTATGAGTATCGGGGATTTGAAGAAAAACTGTCTAACTGCAACAAATATGGAAAAATGTGCACTGACATCCAATCCTTTCAGAAGCACACAAAGACAAACCCAGAGGAGAAACGATGTGAATATAACGAATGCGGAAAACTCTACTGGGGTTGCACTGAAGGAACTAATACTGAAGAGAAGACCTTTGTATCTGAGCAGGATACAAAAACCCTCAGTACAACCAGCTATGTTCAAATTTCTGAAAGAAATCATAGTACAGTGAATACCTACAGAGGTATACGGCGTGGAAAGGGTTTTAATGCTCAACATGATATTCAGATACATGAAAAAGTTAATACTGGAAAAAAACCCTATGTATGTAAACACTGTGGGAAATCCTTCACTAATAAGACTTCATTTGGCAATCATGAAAGAACTCACAATAGGGCTCACACTGGGGATAAACCCCTTTTATGTAAGCAATGTGGAAAAGCTTTCAGCACACATAGTGTTTGTCAAAGACATGAACAAACTCACACTGATGAGAGACCATATCCATGTAAACAATGTGGGAAAACTTTTAGAACACGTACTCAGTGTCAGATACATGAACGAACTCACACTGGGGAGAAACCCTATGTATGTGAGCAATGTGGGAAAGCTTTCAGAACACAAGGTGATTGTCACATACATAAAAGAATTCACACTGGGCAAAAACCATATGTATGTAAGCAATGTGGGAAAGCTTTCAGGGTACACAATTGTTTTCGAGCTCATGAAAGGATTCACACTGGTGAGAAACCCTATGTATGTAAACAATGTGGGAAAGCTTTCAGCATGCACAGTCATCGTCGAAGACATGAACGCACTCACACTGCTGAGAAACCGTATGTGTGTAAACAATGTGGAAAAGGTTTTGGGAGACATGCTGTCTGTCAAAAACATGAAAGGACTCACACTGGGGAGAAACCCTATGTATGTAAACAATGTGGGAAAGCTTTCACTACACAGAGCTATTGTAAAATACATGAACGAATTCACAGTGGAGAGAAACCCTATGCATGTAAGCAGTGCGGGAAAGCATTCAGCACAAGTAGTCCTTTTCGAAAACATGAAAGAACTCACACTGGGGAGAAACCGTATGTATGTAAGCAGTGTGGGAAAGCTTTCAGCACACACCATAATTGTAAAAAACATGAAAGGACTCACACTGGGGAGAAACCATATGTATGTAAGCAATGTGGGAAAGCTTTCAGCACACACCATAATTGTAAAAAACATGAAAGGACTCACACTGGGGAGTCCCTATGTATGTAAGCAATGTTACTGCTTATATACAGTAACTGCTTACACGCACAGTTACTGTATAATACATGAATGAATTTGCACTGGAGAGAAACCATATATGCAAGCATTGTGGGAAAGCATTCAGCACACATAGAAGTTGTCATATACATTGAAGTACTCACATTGGGCATAAACCATACATATGTAAGCAATGTGGAAACAGTGCATGTGGTAGTTAGAAAATACATAAAAAAATGCACACTGAAGAGAAACCCTATGTAAGTAAGCAATGTTGGAAAGCACCACACACAGTTATTGTGAAGTACGTGAACAAATTCACACTGGAGAGAACTATGCATGTAAGCAATGTGGGAAATCATTCAGCAGAAATAGATATGGAAAAACATGAAAGAACTCACTGAGGAGAAACCCTATGTGTGTAAGCAGTGTGGGAAATCTTTCAGGACACACAATATTTGTCAAAGACATGAACAGATTCACAGTGGGGGAGAGTCCTATATATGTAAGCACTGTGAAATAGCTTTCAGAACACATTGTCAAAGACATGAACAGACTCACACTGGGGAGAAGATGTATGTGTAAGGTGGGAAATCAGGACACACATTTATTGTCAAAGATATGAAAGAACTCACACTAGGGAGAAACTATATGTATATAAGCAATGTGGGAAACCTTTCAGAATCACAAGCTAGTTATCAAAAATATGAATGGATTTACACTGGTTTGCAACCCTCTGTATGTAAGCAATGTGGGAAAGCTTTCTGGACATACAGTTGTGGTCAGTTACATGAAAGTAATCACACAAGGTAGAAAAACAATTCATAAAAGGTTTCATTTACTCTAGTAATGAACAGACACTAAAATTTGAATGTAGATTAACTGAAAATATAAAGTAAGTTGCACTGACATAAAAGAACCTTCAGTGGAGAGAAGTGCTTCCTGGTAAGCCATATAAAAATCTTTCAGTACACACAACTGTCAGTACATAAATGAATGAACTCATTGAAAACATGAACATTTGTGATCATTGTGGAAATTTTTTTCTTTTTCTCAGTGCATTAAAACAATAATTCACAAGAGAGGGAAAGCATAGATGTAATAAAATTGAGAAACCCTTTAGTTCTTCCACTTATTTTGAAATACATGGAAGAACCCCTACTAAAGAGAGAACATTCATAAATAATGTGAGAAAGAATGTCCTGGTTCCAACAATGTCAGGAAACAGGCACAAATTCACACAGAGTTAGTATAATACAGAATGTGAGAGGTATTTTCACATGGCTTAAGCAAGTATGGCATTTCTGAGTGGAATGCATTTTCTCTGTCTATTGAGAATGTAATGTACTTTTTCTCCTTGGTTCAGTTAATATATGTGACATTTATTGACTTGTGTATGATGAACCATCCTTGCATCCCTGGGATGAATCCTACGTGGTTGTACTATATAAACATCTTGATGATTTGCTGCATTCTGATTGCCACTATCTTACAGAGGATTTTTGCATTTAGGTTCATTAAGGATATTGGCCAGTATTTCTCTTTTTTGGTTGGATCTTTCTCTGGTTTTGGTGTCAGAGTAATGCTTGTTCTCAGGAATGACTCGGTGTATTTCTTCCTTTTCAACTTTATGAAGGAATTTGAGCAGGAGTGTCATTAGAACTTCTCTAAATTTATTGGTAGATCTTAGGGAATGAATCTGTCAGGACCTAGGCTTTTCTTTGTTGGTTGTTTTTTCATGTTCACTGGCTGATAATGAATTTTTAAGAATTTTCTTATCTTTTTGATTCAGCTTTGGTAATTCATATTTATCTAGAAATCTATCAATTTCTTCTCAGTTTTCCATCTGATTAAGTGTGTTTGTTCTCAGTATTGGTGTTGATCTTCGGGATTTCTGCAGGATCTGTTGTGTTTCTGCCCTTTCCCTTCCTAGTTACATGGATTTGAGTCTTTAGTTTTTTTGGTGAGGTTGGCTAAGAATTTTTCTAATTTATTTAATCTTTTGAAGAACCAACTATTTGACTCGTCAATTCTTTGCATTGATTTCTTGGTGTCAATTGCATGGATTTCTGCTCTGATCTTTAAAATTTCCTTTCCTGTATGCCCTAAATTTAACTTATTATTATTTTTTTAGAAGCTTGAAATTCAACATTTGGTTATTTAATTGAGCTTGCTCTGTTTTCCTGATGTGAGAATTGACTGCTATAAATATTCCACCTCATACAACTGCTTTCATTGTGTCTCATAAATTCGGATTTGTCACAGTGGCATTATTCTTCAACTGTAGAATCTGTCTAATTTCTACTTGAATTTGATCTGTAATCCATTAGTTGTTCATTGGCAAGTTATTTGATTTCCATATTAACAAGTTAATATTATGTCTTAATTATTGTGGACTGATACAGCCTGCAATCTGCCAATGAAGTATACAGGGAAGGTTTAAATAAAAGAGTCAAGTGGTATGATTTTAGGGCTCTACGAGGATGAAAACCCTCAAATAGAATTCGAAATTCTCTGGTGGCTAAGACAAAGATCTTGTCTGGGTGGCCCATACTTATTTAGTTATCAAAACAAAGGAGGGGAATAACGAAAGGCCACAATCTCAGCAGAACCATTCAAGGACCTTCAAGTCCACTCAAGGCCATTATGTTAATTCAAGAGAATTAGGTTATCTCCAGGAAGGTCTCCACCCAGGAGTGAGATGCCTATAGCTACAGTCTAGTTAATTGAGGTTGGAGCCAGACATCCTTAGCTGTGGCCTTGTCTTCTCCTTTGAGGCATCATGGCTTCACCCACCATTACAGACCTCAGTGGGCATCAGTGACTCACAGAGGTTCACTTACTATGAGTCCATTTCCCAAATGCAGACAAGAGCCCTAGGCCTTGAACAGATTCACAAGTAAACATGAAAAACCAATTGGTTAACTTCTCAGAGCAGCTTCATAGTGGTATCTGTCACATATATTTATATAGTTTTTGTGAGGTTTTTGTACATTGATTTCCTATTTCATTGCCTTATGATCTGATAATATGCATGAGATAATTTCAATTTCTTTGCAATCAATGAGCTATTATGTGGTTTCTTTGAGAACATCCTATCTGTTCTCATATGAGCCCTTCAAAGACTCTCTTCATTTTTTGTGATCAATTTGTTATTCTCACTATGAAACAGTGCCTTAAATAGTGGATTTTGAGCATCTTTCCTGTATGTTACAAGAGCTGTCACCTTAGTGTTTACTAGTTATTGAATATTGTTAAACATTTGTTATACTGAAGTTATATTTTTCTTTGATATATTAAAGGTGTGATTTGGAAGTTTCAAATTGTTTTCTCTGTTTTTCCTTTTATTATTACTACATGTATAGTTTACAGACTCTTATTGTTCAGGATATATGATTTATATTTTAATCGTATCCACTCCCCATTTGTCTCCCATATGCCATTTTGTTTCATTGAGCTACAAGACAGTGTTTTCCTTAATCTAATTTTGTTGTTCTTAGATATTCTCCACTAAAAGCTGTAATCTTTTTCATTAGCGTTCCAAATTATCATTGATGAATTTTACTTAGCATTTGGTTATGTTTTTATCTATGAAACCAGGTTCAGGTTTCAAAATACTGTCTAAATAGAAGCAGAGAAGAAAGGGATAAATTCAATAAATAATACATTGGGGAAAGGTATATTCTATGACCTGTGAGAGCCATTTATCAGATACTTTCCTCAGTTCCTTTTCTTGGATGCCGACCTTGTAGGATCCTTGTATAAATAATGCTTTAGAAGCAATGTTCAAAATAAGCTGAGGTTACCAGCAGGAGAACCAGTGTTCCCATTCTGCTGTTGCTTTAGCAACAAATTACAGTCTAGCATCAAAATTTCTGTAGGAGCTGTGTTTATGAACGGAGAATAAGTGTTTGATGACCAAAACATGAAGTAAACATTTAGAGGATTCAGGCTTATTTCAGCTTTTTATGAGTAGATATGAGATGTTTCATACTGTCTCGCTCTTCCTAGATATGTATGACTGATGATTTAGGAGGCAGTGTCCTTTGAGGATATGGCTGTTAACTTCACCATGGAGGAGGGGGCCTTGGATCCATCTCAAAAGAAGCTCTACAGAGATGTCATGGGGGAAACCTTTTGGAATGTGTCTGATAAACATAAGGACAATATCCTTTTCTCATTTCTGCATCAGAGCATTGCTTATTCTTTGTTAATTTAGTTTATTTCATTGAAATATGAAAACACTTGGTGACTCATCCAGGCATGGTCACATTGTACTAGGATTCTAACTGGAATCTCTGCATTTTTATGTAATGTGGTAACTCACTGTATTTCACTTTGTACCCTTTAAGAAGAAGCTCAGGTAGTAAGAAAATTGAAGATGAATACAGAAATTTCAGGAGAAGTCTAAGGTAATTTGCACTCACAAGAACAATGTTTCTCAAGAGTCAAAAATATTAAAAGCAAGAAAACTTCAAATGTGGCCATGTTCCAATTTTTTAAATCTCACATTATTTCTCCCTAGATGTGTACATGTGCAATACCTATCATCTAGTAATTGAATATTTGAAATATTGCAATATCTGAAATCTAAGCATTTCTGACTTTGTACCACTAGTGACATTATCTAACATAAAAGAATAAGCAAATTATTTCCCATCAAGTTTATAAAAAATTCATATGCAATTGCATTTAGGCATTGACTATGTAAAACAAATTTTGTGGGCATGGGGTGTATCTTAGTGATAGAGTGTTTGCCTAGCATGAGTTTAATACAAAGTACCACAGAAAAAGCCCTTACAACAAATTTTGTGTTTAGGCTGAGAGTCAAATTTAGGATATCAATTTATTTAAACATGGATTTATAGAAGACCATATTCATGTCAAACATTATGTAAGGAATTCTGTGTTTATTTCAATGTGGTATACACATTCAGTATTTGGAAAATTTCCATCATTGTGACCATATTTGAAATCCAAATGAATACTACTCTTTTGATAATAATTGTTTTCAAGCAATCCTCCAAAGAATTCAGTCCATTGATGTTCCAAAACATTAGAAGGAACATTTCCATAACATTTGTTAGAATGTTACTCTAGTGTAACATCTATGGAAATGTGTGTATAGATTCCTCAAAAAAGTAAACGTAAAAATTTCATTTCATCCAGCTGTAATTTTCCTGGGTATATTCCTCCCAAAGTTAAAGTTATCATATTAGAAAAATACATGCATACCCTTGTTTGTACCAGTACAGCTTACAAAAGCTAAATTCAGGAAACAGCCTAGATGCCCATTCATAAATAAGCTGATTAAGGAAATATAGTATATCCTGGGAATGGTGATGCATCCACGGAACCCTAGCATTGTAAGATGCTGAGGCAAAAAGATCATGCATTCATTCTCAGCCTAGGAAACTTAATGACTGATGAGTCTTCATCTCAAAATGAGAAATAAATAATGTTGTGGATGGAACTCAGTACTAAAACCCTGGGTTAAATCCCAACCACTGAAAAATATGTGGTGTGTATACATAACAAAGAATGAAATGATGTAAATTTCCAAAAAAAATGGATGGATCTGGAGTCAATAATGTTATATTCAGACAGAAATTTCAATGTCATACTAATATAAATTAGTATGAGAAACCCACATTATGAATTAAGGAGTAAAATAAGGGACAGAAGATAGAAAAGACATTTTAGAGTGTCAAGAGGTTCAGTGAAAAGGAGAAGGGATACTCAGAAAAAAGAGTGTGAAAAACAACATATGGTGTACATATTTACCAATTCTTCAGAATAAATGTGTTAAGTATTGCAAATATGTTGGTTATGAACTGCCAAGTGAATAGTACTGTTTTGTAAAAGCTGTTTCTAAGCATCATCTAGAGTGTACAGTAAATTCACTATCAAATATTCTTAGAAGGCATCAAACCTGATCTCTTCTCAGTAAACCATTAACTAAAAGACACTTTTAAATATGATTGGTTGTTATTTTATTGCTTTACAGCAGTAAGTGGAGAAACGTGGTTATGAATTATGGCATCAACATGAAGAAATGATTTTCCAGACTACTAATACTAACATGAATATTGTTTTGGTTACTTTTTTCTCATTGCTAGGAGAAAATACCTGATGCCAAAAATTAGGGAAGGAAAGGTTTATTTAGCTTACAGTTTGTGGAGGTTTCAGTCCATACTTGGCTGGTTCCAAGGCAGAGTGGCACATGGCAGAGGTCAAGTGTTCATGGTGGTGGAACACAGCAAAACAGCAAGAGCAAAAGGGAGGAGTGGCAGCAAGCAGCCTCTTTCCCTCCCTTACATTGTATGGGAACTACCTGTCCCAGCACTGATGTAACACTCACACCCGTAATCCCAGCATTGGATCACCGATCAATCACAAATCGTAGAAGCCTGCCCCATGACTGCATGAGAATGTAGGGAGACATACAGACACAAACCATAACAAATATAAA